TTGGGAGTACTAGGGAGAAGATGAGCCATTCTAGAAAATGCTGGAAGCAATAAGCCAAACAGGAAAGATGTGTTAAAAACGTGGCTTTCCAACATGGAGTTTCTTCTATTTGGAACACTCACGGCCAGCAGCATCCCACACTTGCTCCCTGAGGGAAATTAGAGTCAAGATCAAGGTTTGCAGCTGAGCATGGAGGCAGAAAGTTTATCACTCAGACACTTACAGAAAAATAGTAAGGTTTCGGTCATTTGGGGGTTTTTAAAGTTTCTTATGGTCCCGGTGAGACGGCACCATTCTGGTACAGGGAAGTCAAAAAGCCAGCTGAGGGGCAGCTCTGTACCTTCCCTCCCCGGGTGTCCGCTCGGCCCAGCCCTCCTGCCGCGCTGCCAGCGGCGGCCGGGACGCGGAAACCAGGAACCACAGCCCCATCTCCTGGGCACTGGGAGGGATCCCTGCACTCGCATTCCGCAGCTGTGCAAGGCACCATCGCCATCCTCCTGTCACCCGCCAGATGGGAGCGATGCCGAGGTGTTAGCCTGCTCCTGGAAAGCCACTTGTGTCACCATGCCGGTGTCTGAGTGGAAGGGGCTGGTAGCATCATCCTGACCTGGTTCAGACCCAAAAGGCAAATACTGAGACCACCTCCTTCACTCTGAGCAGTACTGGGCTCTCAAGAGGTAAGGCAAACACTTTGGAACCAGTTCCTCGGGCAGTGCTAACTAATTCAGCATTCTAGGCGAGAACCTGAGCTTCGCAGCAGCTCTGCAGTTTGTACGGCTGCACCCTTCCAGCTGCAGCGCAGGGAGGAGCAGTGCCAGCATGCCCTCATATGGCAAAAGCTTGCCCCAGTCTTCAGCACAACTGTTGTCCCGTGGCAGAGCAGTTTTGAACTGCGCCACACCTGTCATGCTGAGCCCCCTGTTCTGCAAAACCCTAAACCTGACCCACAAATATGGTGGGAGGGTGTACAGTCCCATCGAGCAGCCACAATGTTGCTCAGTCCCCAGCATCCAGCTCTGGCCCGTGCAATAGACCCTGTTCCCCGCTTCTGAGCTGCTAAAACACAAGCCCCATACCAAGGGTAGTGGGCACAGGCTGTCCATGTGCACCGTGGTACCCCTTGTCCTGCCCAAACGTCACCAGCAAGACTGTACCAAAGTGAAGAGTGAGCTGTGTCACTCCAGCCCAGGAACCCATCTGCATGTGGTGCAATGGCATTTAGCATGAAGAGATTTTTCTACCAAAGCAGGTTTCTCTGGCCTTCAAAGCATGGCTAGGGAGCCATAACTTCTAAGTATGCATCCTGCATCCCTTTAGAATTTATTTTATCCATGCTTGAACAGAACTAACAAAAACAATCAATCTTGTGGCCAGTGAAACAAACACTGACAGAAATATTTAGGACTCTGGCACATGAGAAAATATACCAGGTAAACTTCAGTCTTTATTAACACTTGATGGACTGAGGGTTTAAGCAGCAGCCCACAAAATACATGTTCTTTCAGCTGTAGAGATATCAAAAGTGTATCTTCTTTATGTAGTTTTTTTTCCATCAGTGACTACTGAGTGTAGAAATGAACAATGTATAAATGAAAATGACATGCTTCCAAAGTTGGACAGCAGAAAAATGGCAGTGGGTACTCTTAAAATCACAAGTACTAAAAAACAAAATAAAAAAACAGGTTCAGAAATCTGTGCCCATAAAGTAAGAAATTGAGAAAATCAGTGTTGTGACATAGCAAGATTGTAGCCATCATGCCCAAGGTGTTTACCACAGTCTGCCTCTGCAGAGCCAACGATCAATGATGTTCTTCATTCCCAGTGCTACACACAACTGTAACAATGTTCTTCCTTTACCTGTCATAACAGACTCATAAGCAGATCATAAGCATATCATAATGATATAATAATATATGATATCATAATGATCATAAGCAGATCAGGTTTTCACCAACTCTGAGGCCTTGTGGTTTTCACAAGCTTTAGGCTGCAAGGGCTGGGAGCTGGTAGTGCCAAGCACTGGCTTGAGACAAGAAACTGCCTGAAATGCTGGTTGGTGTCTCTGGAAGCTGCAGGGCAGTGGGGACAAGCTCCAGCAACACCTTGGTCCTACAGCAATGACATAAATCTGGAATGCTTTTCTTTTTTCTCCCTCTGCCAGGGAGAAAATATATTCAAGATGCCAGGCTTCATCTCTCCTAAGAAGGTACAAGATACACAGCTTTGCAGAGAGCTGCATTCATTTTGCAGATTTACCACATGCTTTACTCCATGTAGAGTCTCTGCATGCTAGTAATCAAAGAAAAAAAAATTGTTACAAGATCCACTCCAACTGCATGCTGCATGCTCACAGTCCTGGGTGGGGAAGAAGCCTCTTAAGAGGAGCAGTGAGGTGAATTCACCACGCACACCTCAGTTTCCTTTACATACTTACTTATACAGTGCACTGATTTGAATAAACAGGCTCGCAATGCGTATACTATACTCCTAAAAGTCAGCATCAAACATCCTATAGCCATTTTCACCGTTTCAAAAGCAAAGCAGACTACAGATGCGAAAAGTGGAACATTTTTGCAGCCTGGATTTAAGCAGAGAGATGAATCTCTTCAGCTGTGCATAAAATCCTTTGCTTCCTGCAAAAGAAAAACCTTGGTGTAATCTGACAATACATGGATACTAAAAATATCATGATTATTTAGACAAAGAAGTGACTGGAGAGGAAAAGGAACATCTGTGAATGGTGGCATATAAATTAGGGAGGGAACTGGAAAGCCTGTGTGTATGAGACACTAATGGATCACACAGTACCATATTGGCAAGGACTGCAACAGCTCATTTGTCCAGAGGGGTTCTACGATGCTCAGAAACCCCAGTCAGCTGCTGTTGAGTCCAACTCTGGAAGAAGGTATCCTAAGAAGTTCACCCAGCCCCATTCAACCCAGCTCCATCAGCCCAAATCAAATACAAAGAGAAGGTCACAAAGGAAACACTACCATGACCCTCAATGGAAACTGCCACCATACAGAGACCTATGCCTAAGCCATTTTGGGTCTAATCAGATCAATCCAGAACAACAGTTACAAGTTCGTCGATGTTCTTATTCAACATCAACACTGCACTTACAAAAAAAAAGAGTAATGATGAACAAGCTAGTGCCTCAAGGATTTGCTCCTACCTCCTCCCTATTCCTCTACACTGTCTCAATAGATTACATCTGCCAGGTATTCACCACAGGGGAAGCTCTGACAGACACAGGATCTTTTGCTACATCTCTGCTGCTGTCTCCACTCCTGTGCCACCCTGCTCTTCTGGCATGCTGAGGATCATAGCCTCCCTGCAAAGAGTCCTCTGCTGTCACAGCCAAGGCTGCCTCCTTTCCTAAAAGGCTGCTATTCACCCCTCTGCAGTGCTGCAGGCAAACGAGCCCTGCCACTCTACCCATTACCCCAAGAAGGTGATTCTGAACCCAGGTGCAGAGATCCTGACCAGGCTGTGCAGATCCACCTGCCACTGCCAGTCCTTGGTGCCAAGAATGAGAATCATCAAATTCAAAGTGATGCTTTAGGAAATGCTTAAATGAAAACAACCACATTGCAGTAACATGCCAGGAATATTTCAGCAGCAATTACTCAGAGCCAATTGATTTAAAACAGCACCATCACCCACACAGGAGCTGTCTGATGACTTCTACATACTCATTAGCAGGAACACGTTCGCATGGAAGAAGTTACAAAACTGATAAAGAAAAGAGACAATGATGAAACAGCAACAGTAATAGCAGAGATTCCATGTACCAAGGGGTAAGACTGTGCTCAGAGTTTGGAAATCTTCCATGCGGCAGAGTGAAAAAAAAACTCCAGGCCAACAAATCTTTTCGGGCAATTTCAGATCTGGGGAGTCAATCAGCAGGTACATAGTCCCAAAACGAGGCTCTCAACACACCTTGACACACAAGTGACAGATCTCATGTGGCAGGAAGGAGCCTCCCCCTGCTGGATTCTGGAAAGTAGCAGAGGATGTGCCACAAGCACACTTCTGAGTGCTGAACACAGTGAACAAACTCTTTCAGAAACAAATGGTGAAGTGCTCACCCACTTCTTGGCTAAATGCTGTTCATTATTAACAAAACTTTAGTCACCTTGCGTATAATGAATAGGTAAAGGCAAGAGGAAGAAAGATCAGTCTCCTTTGGACAGATACTGTGCAGTAATATGCACAACTTGCTTTAGGTTTTTACTGCTAATATGCACTATTACCGTAAAATGAAATAAGCTTATGCACCAATAGAAAACATTCTTTACAGGTTGATTGGCAGTGCTGAAGGTACAAAAAGGAGCATCTGCAACCACACCAATATGGAAAAAAGGATCCAATCTGAACAATCTTCAACAAGCAAAACCCCATTTCTCTTGGTCTACCTCCCATTATTGTTAATGATCACAGCAATATAATCCTCAAGAACTAAAGCAGATGAATAAATATGGTAGTTTTTTTCCTGAAGATTACTGCAGTATTTTTGAGGAAGGAACTGGCAATACTGATGCTAAAGGGATTCCATCAGAGGAGCAGCTCCCAACGCAAGGGCTCTGTTCACACTGTTCAGTAAGGCCACCTGCCACACCTGGTCACCAGAACCATCCTAACCCTGCAAACTTGTGAAACCCCAGGCAGGGCAAAAAAATCAGCCTATTTGGGTGGACCCAGACAGGCTGCTATAAATTAAAAAAACCAAAAGCAAGCTGCTTTGCCCAACCTCACATCCTCTCCCCCAGCACTCTGCCGCCTTCTCACTGGGGCGGAGCCAGGGAAGGCGGGAATGTGAGCCCAGCCCCACACACTAAGACAGGAGGGACAGTCCAGCAAGGGAACAAAGCCCACAGCCCCCCAGCTCCATTTAACAGGGAGTAACAGGCATGCCTGCTCTTGCCTGAGGACCATGCCCCATGCTACCAAGGTGTTACCAGGCAACAACTTTACAAATGCAGCACCAGCACAGCAGGTACTAAACCAGCCTTTATTTCTTTCACAGTACAGCAGGGCTGAAGTTAAGACCACTCCGTGGCAGTGCCAACCCACTCAGTAGCCTGGGCAGTGGGAGCTGCTGACCAGTCCTCGGTGGCAGGCTGGGCACTCCAGTCCTCTGCAATCACAAACACAACAAGACTTAGTGCTCCCCAGCTCCTTCCACCCACAACAACACCCCCACCCCTTCCCACAGACACCCCCCAAACTGACCTGTGGGGAACTGCTGGATGGGCACAGACGGGACCTGCACTCCCTCAGACCAATCTGCAACCTCGGGCTGAGGAGGAGCAGTGAATTCAGGTGCTGGGGCCGTCCATTCAGTCTGGAACTCCTCCTTCGTGACTGCTTTCTCAGCAGCCGCCTGCTCCTCCTTTTCAATCTGCAATGGAAGAGCCCAGCCTGAGTCTCCCAGAACACAACCCTTACTATCAAGTATTAGACAACAGGCACCAACTGGGAATACAATTAACCAACCTCCACAGTCGAGTGCGAAGTGCCACATTAGCAAAACCTATCCCGAACAGCAGACACACAGGACCATGGGATAGGAGCACAAGCAGAACATCCCAGAGAGACACAATCCCTGCCATGAGGATTCCTACCTCCTCAGGATCCCTGTAGAAGTACAAGTCAGGCATGACTTCCCACGGGTGCTCACGGGAGATGGTGCCACGCATGCGCAGGACCTCTCGAGCCAGCATCCACCACATCAGTCCCACTGAGTGGGCTCCCTGCAACAGCAGAAAGTAGGTATGAGTGGTAAAGCTAAACCTTTGCAGAAAGAGCAGAAGACTTATTTGTACCCCATCCAAGACTCATGCTTGGTGAAAGACATTATTTGCCAATGCCAGATTTAAGCACTTAAAACTCGAAAAAAGGGCAACTTTTCAAGTTCCCAGTGACATTTTCAGGTCTGGAAGAAATCATCATGCCATTACATCACAGCCTGAAGTAACTCTCCTGTTATGGAGTTTCATGTTGCTCACCACCCTCACATGAGTCTCATCCAGAAGACAGGGATGATGTTCACCACATATTTAAGAATGAAAAAATTGAAAACTTGACAAAATAAACAAAGCTCACACACATCCTCACATGCGACTCTCACTGGACTGACACCTCGATAGGGATCTAAGATAAGATCTTGTCTTGCTAGACTTTACCTTTCAGGTGATTTCTGCCAAGGTAATGTCTCAGAGCAGTTTCTCCATGAGTTCACTTATCTTTCATTCATATTCATGATCTGTGGCAAGAATGACTATCAAACTCCACTCATTGGGTCACAAAGACCCTCATGGCGTCAGCGAAAAATCCTGCCAGGTTACTATAGCACACGTCCTACACTTGAGAGTTCCTTGGCCAGAAACCAGCCTCAGCTCCAAGCTCCAACTGTGTGCAGTTTATTTTCTCCTCCCCACCCACCTGCCAGAGACATTAATTAGCTCATCCCCCAAGATACACGTGAGACACGAGCCAACCCTCCCTTGCAGAAAGCTTCCATCTTGGAAGCCCAAGGCAAGCTCTGGAGGAAGCTGCCCGGAATGCCACAGGGAAGCGTTACCTTGTTATTGCAGGGAATAGCGATATCCACGTAGCGCAGCGGCGAGTCGGTGTTGCACAGGGCGATGGTGGGGATGTTGACGTAGGATGCCTCTGTCAGCGGCTGGTGATCAGCCCGCGGGTCCGTGACCACCAGGAGCCGTGGCTCACGGAAAGCTGCCTGGATCTGGTTGGTGAAGGTGCCAGGGGTGAAACGCCCGGCAATAGGAGTAGCCCCGGTGGCAGCAGCGAACTTCAGAACAGCACGCTGCAAAAGGGACACAGCGAAGGTGAAGCAGGAAAACTGCATTTCAAGCAAGCCAGAAAAGTGCATTTCAGCCAGGTCACCCAGGCACTGCCAGTGAACGTGCATGAAATTTAACTGAACTATTTGTCTCCACTCCTGTGAAATCAGGGCTCATCACCTCAGAAGAAGACAAAGTAAAAATACTACTGGAAAGAGCTACAGCATGAGTTTAAAAGACCATATCCATCAGTAAAGCACTAAGTCAGGACATGAAAAAAAGTCCTCTCTTCCCCTCAAGTTATAGGCAAGCTCTACTCCAAACTCTCTTAATCAAATCATGGAAGGGTGAATTAAACAAAAAGCTTAACAATAAAAGCAAAACAGATTTTCTCCTATTACATCTACATATTTTTATTATTCAGGAACTTCAAGGAACTACACAAAAACTCAGTAATAAATACATACAAATTGTAGCTTTGTCCATTGAAATTGCAGCTGGCAGTTCTCATTCAATTGTAACAACTTCCAGCTTGTCAGGCATGTGGCAGGGCCTACTATCAAACTCCAATCCTCGAGGGAGCCCCTCTCCTGGCGTTAGCGAAAACCCTGCCATCTTTGCTGTCGCACACTTCCGACACTTGAGAGCTCATTGGCCAGAAACTGACCTCAGCATCAAGCTTTAACAGTGTGCACATCGAGCCCACGGGATACCAAGCTTTTCTTCAGAAACCCAGCCCTGAATCTCCCTAAACATCTGTGGCCCCACCTGCAGTTACCTTAACAGCCTAAGCTCACAAACTCCAGTGACTAATTAAATGTTATCACCTACAACAGAACATTTTTGCTAAAAATTGTAGAGTCAAAATTACAAATATACTGGCTACTTTACCTTGCTCAATAATAGAAAATTTCTTCTATGACAACTTTCATATCAGGTGCTTACTGTCCCCAGAAAATCAGTGCAAATTACACAAAGCAGTTCTGGGAGGAAGGGGTCACCAGGGGACTGACCACTAATATGACAGAAACTCAACAGGAAGAAGGATATGGAAGAAAAACAAATTATCAAATGCCCTGAAATGGGGAGTGGTTTCAACTCATCTGTTTTAAGCTGCCAAGTGCAACATAAAAACCATGTTTACAGAAAACATTCCTATAGTTAAAACTGGTGTTATTGCCTGCTATCACCAAGCTGTCACTGGCAGGCAGTGATGCATGCAAGGCAAAGGAGTCCTGCTCCCAAGACTGCAGGCTTCCTGATGCCCATACCTGTCCAGTGTTCCTGGAAGAAATGACGCTCACATCAGCTGGGTTCTCAATGGCAACAATGGCACGAGCTGCCAGGAGCAGCTTTTCCCAGGTCCTTTTCAGATTGATGATGTAAATACCTGTTGGCAACAACAGACTTCAGAGCAAGCAGCAAATACAAGATCCCAAAACAGGATAGTACTCCTCTGCCATTAAACCTGTAACATGGGTGTGGTTACTCCAAAATTCATAGAATCATCAAGGTTGGAAGAGACCTTCAAGATCATCCCATCCAACTGCGCATCCAGCACTGCCACTGTAACCACTAAGCTGTTAACACTGAGCATCAGATCCAGGCCCCCTTAAAGGCAACTGGGCAACCTATCCCACTGTCTGCCCACACAAACAATGAAAATATTTTGCTATTATCTAATCTGAATCTCCCTTGTCTCATCTTAGGGTCCTTTCCTCGGATCCTGACTGCTGGCAGGCAGAAAGGGGTGGTCCCTTCTTTCAGGTAGTTGTGGAGAGCAGTGAGATCCCCCTGAGCTTCTTCTTCCAAGACTAAACAAACACAGCTCCTTCAGTCATTCCCCATTACATTTTCTAGACCTTTCAAAAGCAATACTGCCCTTCTCAGTACATGCCCCAGCACCCCAATGTCCTTTATGAAATGACGACACACTAGTCTCATTCTAGCTAATGGAAAGCTATGCTAAGGAAGATTCTCCCCTTATGGTTTTAATGTCACACGCTTCCAGCATCTATTATCAAAAACCTAGTCCTGGTACGAATTTTAATCTTTTAAAACAGGGCAGCTTATATTGAAAACCAATACAAACAAGAAGAAATCATTACTGAGATACTGAAACCATTTTATGAATATAGTAAAGAACTAGCAAAATTACCGAAACCAAATGTGATTGATTTACCAGATTTTAAGATCAAGATAGTCAAGAACTAGTACAATTGTTCCAAAATCAGTATTTTGTTCCACTTCTCTGACTTAACGCTGGCATGCAAGGGCCATGGAGAAACCATGCTAAAGAGATGAAGCACTAGCACTTTTCTGCTTCTCCCAGTTGCGCCCACAAGATCCCAGCTGCCCAACCCGGGCCACCCATCCCGCCTGTTTACCATCGCTCTTCCTTTTGTAGATGTACTGCTCCATCTGGAAGTCCAGGTTGGTACCTCCCAGGTGGGTCCCGGCAGCGAGGAATTTGAGGACATCCTCCTCCTTCATCTGCAGGACATCGAGGCCTCCGGACATTGTGGGGTTTCCCTTGGGAAGCAACGACAGGGAACCTGCGGGCACAGGGACGCGGCTCAGCCCGGCGGGGACGCGCCACGAGGCCCAGCCGCCGCGGCCGCCATCTTGGGCCGCCTCCCGCGCTACCAGCGGCAGGCCTCGGCCTCTCCCGCGGCCCGGCCTGGCCCGGTCCGGTCCGGCCAGGCCCGGCCCGGCCGGCCGCCGGCGCTGCGGCGGGATGCACAGTGCTCCGCGGTATTATCGCAGGGCGCGGAACGCGGCCCCACCTTCCCGGCGCCCCCCGCCCGCCGGCCCCGACTCACGCTAACAACGCCGTGTAGAGGCCCGGACGGCGCGGAGCCGAAAGAGAGCCCGCCTCCGCCTGACGCCCATATATGGCCTCGCCAGCCAATGGGAAGCCTCGGGGGCGAGGCTCCGCGGCGGCGGGGGCAGAGCCAGGGCCGCGCTCCTGCTGCGCCTCCACAGGCCGGGCGCGATCGTGGCTGTGTCCGCTCTACCGGCCCGCTCCCGACCCTGGCTCTGAAAGAAGCTGGTAGGATTTGTGGGATTACCAATGCAGAGAAGAGAAAAAAAGCTGGTGAGGGGCCTGCAGTGTGAGTCCTGTGAGGAGCGGCTGGGGGAGCTGGGGGTGTTTAGCCCAGAGAAAAGGAGGCTCGGGGGTGATCCCTTACCGCTCTCTACATCTCCCTGAAAGGAGGGTGCAGCCAGGTGGGGGCCGGCATCTTGTCCCTGGCAACCAGCAACGGGAGGAGAGGACTCAAGTCTCACCAGGGAGGTTTAGGTTGGACAATAGGAGGAGTTTCTTCACAGAAGGAGTGATTAAGCTTTGGAATGGGCCGCCCAGGGAGGTGGTGGAGTCACCGTCCCGGGAGGTGTGTAAGGGAAGACTGGACATGACACTCAGTGCCAGGGTCTGGTTGACAGGGTGGTGTTTGGTCATGGCTTGGACTCCGGGATCTCAGAGGCCTTTTCCAGCTGAACTGATTCTGTGGTTCTGTCAGTCTGGACCTGCCTCACAGCATCCGGAGGCTTATGCTCCAAACAACATCAAGGCTGTTTTTGAGGTCTTGAAGTGAATAGAAAGCAAAGATTTATTTTAAATATTTTACAATTCCATTTTCCTGCTGAAAGTGAAACATGCTCTCAGGGCTGGTGATTATTTGATGAATTATATCTAGGCTCTAAATTGCTTGCTGTGGGGGGAAGCTTCTAAGGAGCTGCAGCATCTTCCCTGCACCCACATTCCCCCTCCCTACAGGGGCACTGCTCTGGCACCACGCAGGAGAGCTTGGGCAGCCAAGGCTGTTCCTGTCCTTTGCAGAAATGACAGCAAAACCAGGTGAAATTGACACTGAATTTACACATCCTTGTTCTGCAGTAGGCATTCTTGTGGTACTTGCCCCTTTTTTTGTGTGTGTTGTTGGGTTTGGGATTTTTTTGTTGTTGTTTGCTTTTAAGAAATCACAGAAAGTGATGAGATTTAAGAATCTTCATCGTCTTTCTCATCTTCTTTGTCCTATTCTCAGACACAGGCCTGAGGAAGGAATTTCTTGGAGAAAAAGAAAAGTAGTGATACTTACTTTGCTATGCTTGCTATCCTCAAGATCTGGAAGCATTTCTGGACTGTGCAAATACTATTGCCAATGCCTCCTGCAAGTGATAATTAATCTTCACATCTTTCTAACAACAGTGTTCCTTTAGTTTTCTCCCTTCTATTTTAACCTCATATAACCACATCAGTGTGACTGTGCTTAGACTCTCCTTTTCAATGCCTGAGCCCTGAGTTACTCTGGGGAAGAAGTGCTCAAGTAGCAGGTTGCAACATTGCCTCATGTATGTTCTTTGTCTCCTGGATGGCTCCCTATCCTTCTTTTCTTCGTGCTTATCAGATGGTGTTAATTAGCAAGATTACCAAATGAGCTTTAGACTATGCTGAGTAATTCAAGCGTTTGCCACACGGTGGTGACAAAGTAGGTAAAATGAAACTCAGCAACAGGTTAGTGAGCCCTCAGCCAGAGTGTGAACTATTATTGCCTGAGAGATCATAGACATCTGTGGCACTTGGGTAAGTGCACTGTGGATGGTGAGACCTGATGGCTGTGTACAAACTGTGTCTGTCCTAAGGAGAAAGGAGCAGGGTGAATATTATCTTAGGAAGGAAGAGGAGAGGTGGTGGTGATGTCACCGCGGTGTGGGTAATGGATTTCGCCTGGAGAGCTCTTCTGCGCAATTGAAACCCATCCGTATTAAAAATGTATTTGAACATAATGGTTGGAAATTAAGTATTGAATATTGCAGTTTGTATGATGTTATCAAAAGAGTGCCACTGTCAAGTGTTATAGACTCCTCTTGTTTCACTAATACCTCATTTATTTTTTATTGTTATGCTTATGGGCCCTTTCAGGTAGACCATGAGGCCCACAGCCCATGAGACGGCTTGGAACAGTGGTGATGAAGCTGGACAATAAAATCTTTCTAGCTATTTTCTTAAATAACCTGAAAGCTTGCCTTTATTTTTTTTTTTTTATCTGCGTGCTGAGACAGTTTAAAATAATGTTATGAATGGACGTCCCTGAGGTGAAAGTGTATCTATCTTATCACGTTTTAGACAAGTTTTCCCTTGTCCAAAGTTCACACTGAGCTCTGTTACACAATTACATGCAGAGCTGCTGGCAGCCCCTGGGAACAGCCTTGCTCTGCAGCAAGCAAAGCCAGGAAAGGCGGATTCGAGGCACCGGTCCTCCTGAAGAGCCAGGGAGACTTGAGGCCCACGGGTGCAGAGAGAAGCATCACAGAGCTACATTGAGGACCTCAAGCAGGTACCTGGGGTGGTCACAAAGCCCTAGAAAGAGCATCTCCCAGAGAGCCAGCCCAGGCTGCAGCAGAGCAGCAGCAGCCCTGGCCAGAAGCCTCTGAGCAGGGGCTGCACCAGGACCCCAGTGCTGGGAGAGAGGGCTCCTCACAGGGCTGCAGAGGAGGTGTTCTGTGCTGCCAGGACAGCTCTGCAATGAAGGGGTTGGGTTGTGTGTCTGGGGAAGAAGCTCAGGCAGAAAGCCTTTCAGGCAGTATCTTCCCCATCAAACATGACAGTGGGTGTCACCCAAGAGATTGTGTAGCACCCCTGCAGAAGGCAAAGAAGAGCTATGAAGATCAACCCACTTTCAGTGAAACTGCACTAATGTTACTGTGCCTCCCTGTAAATTCCATTTTGGCTTGTGTTTCAAAGGTTTGTTATTACTTTTTACACGTTTTGGGGAAACATATTTTGGCAAATTTATTTCTAGTTCTACAAAGTTAGAATTGCCTAACACCTCTTACAGAAACTTGCAGAGGTCTCATTTTAACCTCTCACTAGGGTTTTGTCATTTTTACTAAAACTCCTTAATGCATTATGATAAAAAACTCCTAAAGCATTTTACACTGCTGAAATCACAAATTGAGAAACTGCAATGTGGAAAATCAGCTTGCTATTTTGAAATAAGCACCAAAGCCAGAAGGGATAAGCATATTCAAGAAACCCACATGGAGTTCACAAAAGTACACATATATATGTGCCTGTGTAGGATGCGGAATCTTTTCTGCTCAATTCTGGCTTCAGTGCTTATGTGTGGCACAACACTCGTTAAAATTAAAAAAGCAAGCAAAGTGCCCATTTTTAAAGAGGGAGATCTGTAACTCAATGTTACAACCACAGTGCCTTTAAACTTTCAATCTTCCCCACCTTCTACCACTCAGAAGGGTTAGGGAGCTTGTGTGCTATCTCTTCTCACAGCTGGGGCAGCTGTCAGCAGCATGGATGACAACACCCACTACAGAGGAGGTGGTTCTTCAAGGCAGCAGGAGAGCCCTGGGGAGCCCTGTGTGCAGGAGCAGACACTATCCCAGGCCCAACTTGCTACCAGGAACCTGCACAAGCAATTTAGGCTCAGCTGGCACAAGGCTGCACCTCAGAGCTGTCTGTTACACACAGATAACCCATCCATGAAAACTGCTCCATGTGAGAATGTATTATCTAAGCAAGAAAAGAGGCTTGGGATCTTCACATCTGGAAGATGCACATCTCAGTATCAACAGCGTTCTGCTTAGCACAATCTGCCTGCTTCTGAATCCCAGGACCGTACTGTGACAGCAAGAGGAGATCCCAGCAATCCAGGATTCCCTTCCATTATGCCTTGCAGGAGACAATGGTGTCCCAGGCACAATTTCTGGTCCCCTGCTGAGATCAGACTGCCTGAGTAGCAAAAACCTGATCAGCTAGAGATTAAAAACAGTTTCTCCCCAGAGAGCTTAAAACCCCACTGTCCTGAAGGCAGGTATTTTGCCAGCTAGCACAGGGATTCAAAAGCCATCTGTCTTTACACACAGCAGGCAGGCAGAGGAAGCTGTGTATAACAACATTCTCCAGTGCTGTGTGGTTTTTCCATTTAAGCAAAGTTGATTTAGCTTGTACTAGCACAACCTGTGTGTATTATACACCACAGTAAAAGAGAATATTCCTTGCCTTTTATGGGCTCTGAACACATGCAACAGTCCTGTCCTCTTGGAAAACTCCTTCTGCCTTCTTAAGTCTCTATCCCTCCAATCCCTTGTGCATTTAATCAGTTTGGGGCTTGTCTGTTTGGGTTTTTTAAAGAAACACTGAAGAAACGACATCCTTAATTTTAGTAACCAGTTTTTAATGGAAACATATAATACACCTTTTCACATAAATATTTTATATAGACACATACTATATAGACTCACAATACTCAAAGCTATGCAATGTTTCAAAGCTCCAGTTCTGTTTAAGAGACTGAGAGGAAAAAACCCAAACAAATCATCACACAGGAGGAGTGGAAACATAAAGTTTCTAAAGCATGAATAATCAAACTATTTCTCTTGTGTCCTTACAACTCACTTAAACACTGCCTGCCTCAACATGCCAGCCAGCTGTGTTCTTAGCCACAGCTGCAGGGGCAAGCAGACAGTGCACGATCACTAACAGTGCACTGCCAGCAACAGAGGTCAGTCCAAGGGAGCACACCCCTGCCTCCGGAATCCAAGCCAGCGTGGCTTTGGAAATGATTATCTGACAAGACTGTCAGTGTTGAATTGCTGGCATGATGGAGGCAGGTGATTAATCACCTCTGTCCAGATCTTTTATTTGATTTACTTTACCTTTAGGCTGTACAGTGACAATTTGTTATGAGGTAGAAGCATTAAACCTCAAGGGGAATACATCTGAACTTCATGTCCACGCACTTGATTGTCTTGACTTGCTATAGCTATCAAGGAGCAACTTCAATAAATCACTTCAGAAACAGAATGTTTTTGAAGAAGGGAAAGGGTGAAGGACAGTAAGGATCAGAGAAATAGTCTTAT